TAAAATGGATAATTTTATCATTAAGGTTAAAAAATTAATTAGTTTGGGGAACCAGCAGTTAGCATAATGGCTATGTCGCTGGACTCCCACGTAGTCGACTGCAGTTCGCATCCCGGACCCGGTGGCTTAAAACTAATGCCCGGCGCATGTGCGTTCATGCCCAAGATCCCGAGAGGAGAATGGAGGAGAAGGGATTGCAGCATGACCATCCCCCCCGGGGGGTGATTTCTCGCTTTCTGTCTCTCTGTCTGTCTGGCAAGCACACGCACCCTATAGCAAAAACCTCTCCAAAAAAAAAAAAAAAATTATTGGTTTGCATGTTCTCTTAGTTTTTTGCCTACATCAGAAAGCATAAGAAAGTCTTTCTGCTGTCATTCCACATAAATAATTTGTTTATGAAATGCTTGGTTGGAAAATATTTTACCTTAAAACTTATTAAAATTGTTCCATTGTCCTCCAACATTTAATGTTCCAAATGAAAAGTCTAAGAACTTGTCTAATTTTTTCTTCTTGGTAGATATCTTTCATTTTTTTATATGTCTACATTTAGACAGATGAGAGAACTTCCGAAGGTTCATAGAAATTAAAATGCAAGTTTTTATCAGTGCAGAAAAAATTTAAATTCATGCATAGTTTTTTCATAATATGTATTTTTCACAAACTTTTTAAAGACCTCCTATATTATCATTATTCAGTACAAAGCTGTATTAGTCCATTCAATTTATAGATAATAACTTTCATTTGAGGTAAGATTTGATAGGGTACTTTTTAATCCATGGTTATTTATCTCATTTATTTTTCAAGTTAATTAGATCGTTTCCTCATTCTTCGCCATCAGTGTTTATAATTTACTTTCATAGGTTTCTTTTTTGGGGGAAGAGGTTTTTGCTATAGGGCACATGTGCTTGCCAGAAAGAGAGAGACAGAGCGATAGATAGCGAGAAATCACCCCCCACGGGGGATGGCCACACCGCAATCCCTTCTCCTTCATTCTCCTCTCAGGATCTTGGGCACATACGCACACGTGCCCAGCAGGAGTTTAAACTACTGGGGCTGGGACTCAAACAGCGGTCGACTCCATGGGAGTCCAGCAACATAGCCAATACGCTATCTGCTGGTCCCCCATAAGTTTCTTTATAGTCATTTTCCTCTTTATTATTTGATAGTGTGCATTTCTAACTCTGCCATTTCCTGCTTACAATGTAGATTTTAATTCTGTCATTCCTTTATGTTTTCTCGCTTTTCTTTTTTAAGGCAGATTTTCTTTATGTCTTCATGCCTGGCATTTTATTATTTCAGGCACCAATTTCATAAACGTTTCTGTTTCATAAAGGCTATCTTTTTTGTTATTTGAGGGTACACCATGTAAATGGTTATAAAACCTCTATCTCATTTTTAGAGAGCAATAGACACAATTTTTGCTTTTGAAGGTTCTAGGCTATGTGTTCCTTGTCTTATGCTAGAAGACTTATAACTTACTATTTTCTCTTTTAAAAAAGAGAAACATATTCAAATCTAGCTTCTCTCAATTGATGGGTGGGGTGAAATCTACTTGGCTTCTCATTCCAGCTGTTTCAGTTTTAATAATCTTTCTCTCAGAAGTAAGATCAAAGTCATCAGCCTTTAACTTTGTCCTGGTCTGTTGAACTGAAGATAATGTCCATAGTTTTTCAGACAGTTCACTGACTTAGGAAGAGCCCATTAAAGTGTGAAGACTTTATTTGGACAATGAAAAAACATACTCCTGTACATAAACAGCTCCCAGAATTTATTCTTCAAAGCATTGCTCATGAACTTGTTGAATACAAAAGAATAATGGGTTTCTACTTTCTTTCCCATGTTTTCAAACTGTAATATCTACATAAATAACAAAAACAAAAGTGTAACATCTACATAAACAACAAAAGAGAAGCATTGAAGCAGATGCTGGTCAGAGGCAGGACAGGGCAGAAATCTATGCTTCTTGTCCAGAGATACTACCTGTTTCTGGTCACAGGACCGTCTATATCATGCAGTGTAAGATATGAGCAACAAAACAGTCCTCATATTTTTCTGTCTTGCTTGGAAAAATAAGCTCTGTTTTATTTCAAAAGCATCAACCTGCACATGGCAAGGAATGTCCATTTAATGGAACTTCATTCAGATAGTGAAAGATGGTCTTTGCTCATCTTGAATTTGTGGTGCTCGTCCCAATATATTTAATGTATCTATGTAAGTATAGTATTTAGAATTTGATGGAAGAGATTATTAAGTACATTTAATAACCCAAGTAAAATGCATTTATATTTGTAAATAGAGTTTTAAAACACTTCATTAGTATTATGTCTTTAAAGCTTAATTTTATAAACTAAAATACATGAACTTCGAATCTGGTATACTTTTCAGTATATCACAGCTGCCACATTAATAAGTAATGATACTGTAAACCAGTAGAAAATGGTTCTAATGATGGAAAGAACTTTGACACTCAAAACACCCATGGCTTTGCTGTACTTGACTAATATTACCATTTAGGAAAATATTAAAGGGTATGATTAACCTGTTCCTGCCAATGAATAATACTCTAATTGTTTCATGTGTTTACATTTTGTGGCCTCAAAGAAAAGATACATTCCAACCTCCCAAATTCTATGAACAATTGCCAAAGGACTTCTAACATAAACTCTTACCATTATGCTGGCACACCACACATTTTTGGTTGTTGGGAAAATTCTGTTACCATGAATCAACAGCTCTCTGTTCTTGTCTGTCCTCCCTCCCATCATTCCCAGTCTCTGGTAGTGTGTCTATGTTTCTGCTTCTATGAGGTTGTTTTATCTTTAGTTACCACACCTTTTTAACCATTGCTAGATATAAAGTGAAAAAGAATTGCGTTCTTAGGATAAATTTAGTATTCGTGGCCCAGCTTCCGTCACACCAACAAGAACATACTGATCTATAGTGCTAGAAGCCACATGGCCAACTGTGGTTTCATATCCTGAGTTGTCTTGAAACACACCTGTGCCCAAGATCCTGACCATCTGGAGGACTATGGGAGAGGAACTGAGCTAGACCTTACAGGGGGTGGTTCTTTTTCTCTATTTCATTCTCTCACTGCCTTTTGTGCATAGGTACACATACTCACCAAAGTGTAAATTCAAAACAAAACCACAAAGCTTAGTATTTTATGAAAGATTCCTAAAACTTAATGCAAAAGATCCTTCAAAAAATCATAATGGTTCTCGGGACCAGCAGTTAGTGTAATGGCTATGTTGCTGGACTCCCATGTAGTCGACTGCGATTCGTGTCCTGGACCCGGTGGCTTAAGACTCACGCCGGGCATGTGTGCGTGCGTGCCCAAGATCCCAAGAGGAGAACGGAGGAGAAGGGATTGGGGTGTGGCCATCCCCCCTGGGGGGTGATTTCTTGCTTTCTGTCTCTCTGGCCAGCGCACGCGCCCTCTACCAAAAATCTTCAAAAAAAAAACAAAAACAAAAACAAAAAAAATCATAATGGTTCGCAAAGGCAGATTACTTCACATGGCCAAATACTGGGTTCTCATATATGCCCAAAATTTCACTTCAATAACCTTAAAGAGAAATGCTACCTTATCCTTCCAATCCGTGAACTCATGGTGCTGAACTGTATTCTGGTCCATGATTTGACATATAATTTTATGAGGCTTGTAAACCAATACTCCACCAACCCCCACACCACCAGCTTAACACAAATCAATGTAATAGTTCATACTTAAAGTCTTAGAAAATATTGGGTTGTCAAAAAAGTCATGATGTATGTTTTTATATGATTTTCTATGCAAAAATGCATCATGACTTTTCCATCAACCTAATAATAATAATGTAAGTATTCTACTTCCTACCTAAGAAAATATGACTGTTTTTATATAAATGACTCTTAAGAGAATCACTGTGGGCAGATAATGAAAAGGATAACTTAGGGCAAAAATTGAGAAATAGAGTGAAAGAGGAGAAAAAACTAGTGCACTGCTTTTTGAAAGAATAAAGAATTCTTTTAATGAAGAATTGATGAGTTATATTTGTGAGACAATTAGCAATTGATTTTAGTACCTTTTAAAAGCCTGTCTACACCATAGAAATACATCGAAATATGAAAAAAAGAGACTTGATTATAATTTAAATATCATCGTAGAATCCTACTGAGCCAATCCTTAAGAAAAACATGTTATATAGCCCTGCTACATCAGCAATGTATATAAAAGGATAGCTATTTAAACATTTTTCTAGATCCATTTAGCCAATTTTATTAGAAAGTTAAAAATGTCTCTAGGGTCTATGTCAGGAAATGCCCATATTTGTATTAGCAGAGACTTCTCTTAAGGATGTTACTTATGAATAGAAGTTTTTTTCATCTAATTGTATATACTTTTTACTCTTAATTTCTTTCCATAAGTATTATTTCAAAGCTTTGAAGATTAGTTTAAAAATATTAAGGAGCAAAATGAAAATACTTAAAGGAAATTTAAAAGTTTGAGACTATCAACTCTAATATGCCTATACTTGGTTCCTTGCAATTAATTATGGGTTTGGGAAAATTCAAAGTTTTTTTCATCTAATTGTATATACTTTTTACTCTTAATTTCTTTCCATAAGTATTATTTCAAAGCTTTGAAGATTAGTTTAAAAATATTAAGGAGCAAAATGAAAATACTTAAAGGAAATTTAAAAGTTTGAGACTATCAACTCTAATATGCCTATACTTGGTTCCTTGCAATTAATTATGGGTTTGGGAAAATTCAATTTGTTTATATATATATATATATATATATATATATATATCACCAGTAGTACCACCACAAAGACACTTTCATAAGCTTTTTTTTTAATCTTTTTAGTACAAGGTTTCCATAAGCCTCTTTTATTTATTTATTTTTTTTTTTTTTGTGGTCATTCTAGAAGTAGCTGATGATAGTTTATTCTTCTTTCCCCTGATACCCATTTAGATCAGGCACATTTACAATGTCTTGCATTTATTTTTAACAGCTTTTCAAGACTTACAGGGTGATGTTGACTACTATACACTATTTTGGAGTTCTGCTACCTCAAATGAATCTCTAAAAATTCTCGCAGATGTAAACTCTCATGTCATTGGCCACTTAAATCCAAACACAGAGTATCGGATTTTTATCTCTGTCTTCAACGGAGTCCACAGCATCAACAGTGCAGTACTGCACGCAACCACTTGTGATGGGGGTGAGTCCAGATTCAAGGGGATATTGGGCTTCAAAGAGGCGAATGAAATTGATTGATTCTTGCCTGGGTTGAGATCAGTCATCCCTCCATTATAAAATTTCCGGTGTCGGAGGGAAGGGAGTCAGGGCTAAAATGCTTAAGTGCTTGCTGTCGTCAAGTAGCAGATCAATAAGTGGTCCCGTTGAGACAGCAGCACGAGGCTCTAATAATGAGATATTAGCCCAGTTTGTTCCTGTTCTTTTCGGTGTATGCTTAGTTTGGAGCTGAGTTCGCATCAATAAATGGTGACATTTAGAAACATTTTTTTAAAGATTTTCTCTTAGGAGCAGTGTGCTTTTCAAAACAACAGCCAAAGCACAGTGAGAACCCTCCCTGAGTCACCAGAAATGGTAGGTGGAAGTTCAGCCACTGAGAAAAATTGCCTCTGACTCATTTCTAAGTCAGTTAGCAAGGGGGAGGAAGCAAGGGAAGCAAGTTGTGAATCTGAAATGTGTTTGGAATGGTCTTTGTCATCTTTTTGGCTTTATAAAGCCTCATTATAAACATTATAATATCATTACCTCCCAAGCAAGTGTTCCAGATCATTAGCAGAGCTCTTTAAGTGTGGAACCCATTTCCCTTCGTGGTGCCAAAGGTCAGCACCTTTTGTTTATAAAATAGGATGGATCACAAGGACAATTTTTCAACTAGTTAAGATGGGTTCTTAGGATAAAAATAGGTCTTTGCATAGTTATTTCTGACACGCTTGAATAATTGTGTAATTTAACGCTAAGCAAGATTTTTTTCTACTGTTAGATTTCATCATTACCTATGGTAATCAACATTCAAAATCATTTACATAATGACAATATTGCATTATTGCTTCATATTGCTTGAGTTACAAGCTAGTAACATCAAATGATTTTTCACGTTCCACCAGCCTCAATGTATTTCGGTTTTATTTTTTGCTGAAGAAGTGAATTTTCTTTTTTTCCTTCATCCCCCCCTTACCCAGGAGGTATGGAGTGGAGGGATGGAAAAGAGACAAATAATAGATATGTGTTAGTGGTGCAGATGGGTGAATAATTTATCATCATTTCCCACTGGCCACATAGTATTGAAGATTAGCACTGTGCTGGTGGTATAAAAGCATTTTACCACCAACTCTTATGGTTTCTAACTGAGAGTATAATAAGCCAATTTACAAGAGGACTACAGACTGTGATAACTTCATCAGAGAAAAGCAGATAAGCAAGGAATCCTTTGCTAAACCTAAATACTAATCTGCATTGAGTTTAACAAGTGCTTTTTCAGAGACAGCTGGAGTTTATTCAGTTTCTTCCTTTAATTCTAGAGCCTCAGGGCATGCTTCCTCCAGAGGTTGTCATCATCAACAGTACAGCTGTACGTGTCATCTGGACATCTCCTTCAAACCCAAATGGCGTTGTCACTGAGTATTCTATCTATGTAAATAATAAGCTCTACAAGACTGGAATGAATGTGCCTGGGTCATTTATTCTGAGGGACCTGTCTCCCTTCACTATCTATGACATTCAGGTTAGAGCATTGTTTTTTGATGGTTAAGCTTATGGATATGTTAAATAAAACATGCCAGGATATGTATCCAAGTGAATTCCTTCTGTCTTGGTTACAGATTATTTATTTGGTGGAGAATGAGAGAGAAAAGAGGGAAATTGATCAGAATTAAATCTGTTTGCTGTGGGCAAACACAGGCGTCTCTAGAGTAAAAACAATGATAATATGGAAAATGATGGTGATGAAATTCTCACTGGCAATATGAAGCTAATCACACATTCTAAATAAATCTTGCTGAGTAGTTTGTCTTTTTTCCTGGATCTTGTACTAATATTAAAATCTGAATCAGCCTATGGATATGGAAATTTTATTTCTATTTCCATTTCTGCTATTCACTAACTTAATAGTTTCGGGAAAGTTACATAACCCTACTTGGTATTAATTTTGTCTCTTGTAGGGACAATGGACTGAATGGTTTACAGTGTTCTATATACCTCTAGCATTATGTGATTCAAATGCAACAGGAAGGAATATGTAAATACAAATATGGTAGACAGAAAAATAGTGGGTTGTTGGGAAAGTCGTGATGCATTTTTGCATAGAAACACATAGAAAAATATGTCATGACTTTTCTGATGACCTAAAATTAAAAGATTTTATCTGAGGGTGCACTGAATATATCCAATCATCATTTAAAAAATGAGTAATGAACTTTACCTATGTGAAAGAAGGGACTACTTAAGCAAATAAAGAGCAATCAATAAGGAATTAGAAATCTTGGTAAATTGGGGCCAGCAGGTGGCGTGATGATTAAAGGCGCTGGACTCCCACATGGTCGACTGTGGTTCAAGTTCTGGACCTGGCGGCTTGCTTTCTCGCTTTCCCTCTCTTTCTCTCTCTGATCAGACTGGAAAATAATAATAGTAATAAAGTTAAGTAAAATAATTCTTTTAAAAAAAAGAAATCTTGGTAAGTTAGTAAGATGTAAAAGAAAAACAAGGCCAAATGTACACAACAGTAACAAAAACAGAGTATTTCAGAAGCTCAAAGTTTATCATGAAGGTTTCCAATTTGGTAAATTTTATATAAGCTAGCCTACTTCTAAAATTTGTAAGAGCTTCAGAAGATGTTGAGCACAGAAATTTTATTTGACCTCAGCCTCATTTCACTCATTTTTTCCCTTAGAAATGTTCTTTCGATTTCTTATCTCCTTCTCTTCCCCACATTTGGATGTGAAACATGCATTGTCACCTGGTACAATCAACAGCTTTCCCCACTCTGTTCCATAGACCTGGCTTCCTAAGAAAATTAGACTTAAAAACGAATTGTAAAAGAAGAAAAGTACATTGATTATTGTTTATTGCACACATGATTTTTATCAAATTACCTGAGTTACCTTGGTATGGGGTATGTGGAATGTTATAAACATTTATGATTCTTATAATGTGTACATGTATGCAGATAATCCATAGGTGAATTGATTCTGAGTTATCTCAATGTGCATCACACTGTTAGACATTTTCCAATATGTAGAAAGTTTATTGCCACTAATTCTATTATAGTGATATTTCATGTCATGTGCCTCTAAGTTATTTCAAGTTAGATTGGACATACTCAAAGTGGAAGGCATTGATAGTGTTTGAATATCCATTAAATAGTACCTCAAAAATCTATATGGCATAAATAAATAATACAACTCATATTGCAATATACGTACACACACAAACGTATACACATGTTTATTTTGAGTTGTTGAAAAAGTCATCATGCGTTTTTGCATAGGAAAAAGTAGGAGAAAAAAGTCATGGGACCAGCAGTTGGCATAATGGCTATGTCGCTGGACTGCCATGTAGTCGACCACGGTTCGAATCCCGGACCAAGTGGCTTAAACTCACGCCAGGTGCATGTGTGTGCATGCCCAAGATCCTGAGAGGAGAGTGGAGGAGAAGGGATTGCCATGTGACCATCCCCTCTGGGGGGTGATTTCTTGCTTTCTGTCTCTCTGTCTCTCTCTGTCTGTGATGAGCACATGCTATAGCAAAATCCTCTCCAAAAAAAGTCATGACTTTTCTGACAACCTCATATATGTGTGATATATATATATATACACACATGCACACACACACACACATATATATATATATGTGTGTGTGTGTGTGCGCGTGCGCGCGCACCTCAACTCCATCTAGGTTCAGAAGTCCTGTGAATAAAATGCATTTACTAAATACAATGAGAATAATATTTTCTTTCCTCAAATGCCAATATATTTTCTTTCCTCAAATGCCAATGGAAAAAATCTGAGACCTGCTTCATTTGAAAGCTCAGAATCAGTATTTAAGACTGATCAGTATATGGCTTCCCTCTTCCATTTATTTGTTCATTGCAGAAAGTAAAGTAGCACTGCAGAAAGTACAGTTACTCTATGGTTTATCGTCCAATTGAGAGTAGAATGATGTCACTTTGGGGATGTTTCACCGGCCATCTCTTGTATATTCATTCATCTTCCCTCCCTCTCATTGAATGTGTTCCTTTTGTGTTACTAATGCTTGATAAGACCTGTTTTAACTCTTTAATTATTTTACCCTCCTCAGTTTTTGTTCAGATTAGCTGGCAGAATTAAAGGAGTAAATACTGATTTACTTCTGTGATGAAGGTGAAAACGAAATTTAGCTGGAACAAATGACATTGAAAAGGTCAAAAGTTCAGCCATATTGGAAGGCCTTTCTAGGCCTCGTTTTTCTTTCATTAGACACTAGCATTTAGGCTATTTGTTGTAAAGTGTCAAGACTTCCAAAAGATACGATCATTACATACTTGGTTATGGATCTAGAGTGCAGTATTGAGTGACAACCCATTATGCTAGCACACTGTCACTTGGGCATCGTCCATTCCTTGGCTATGCTCTGAATAGATTAATATGTCCTTCTCTTTCTGAATGGTTTGAACCAGAGGCTAAATATCATCTTTCTAATCACTAAGTCAGTTGTCCTGAGCCCAATTCAGCACTCTGAGCTCATCCCACTGGAGTCAATTAACATAAAAAATTATTATCTATTAAACCCTGAGAGGCTAGCAAGAACTGGAAAAGATGCATATGAAATGAGTGTAGGTGGGACTCAGTCTGCTGTCTGTCTGCAGTTTGGAAATGGTTGGTTTTATTATTTTCTAAACTAATGTTTCCAGGTGGAAGTATGCACAAAGTATGCCTGTGTGAAAAGCAATGGAACCCAAATTACCACAGTGGAAGATACTCCAAGTGACATACCAGCACCCACAATCCATGACATCACTTCGAGGTACGACATATGACATATGACCTATCTATATTCCTAGGTATTTTTAAAGATCCTGAGAAAAGATAGTAAAAATTAGAGATATCTTCTTGGCAATGGCAATCTCATCTTGTAAGTTTCTATAAATACTTTTATAAGTCAAGTTTTCTATATTATTTCCTAGACGTTCATCTTCATTGAACACCTAGTTATATTAAATCTTTGGGGTCTCTAATTGCCCAGTCTTACTTTCCTTTTGTAATCTGTGAATGAACAAATACTTAAATACTCAAGTTTTCTTAATTAAATAGGCCCTTTAGTGAATCCTTTCATAAAACAAAATACAATTTTAATCAGAATAACAACTTTCTAACTTAATCTCTGAAAAAAATTTATTTACAAATATCATATTTCCCTCAAGATAGAAATATCTCGGGACCAGCAGTTAGCGTAATGGCTATGTCGCTGTACTCCCACGTAGTCGGATAGAAGCCCTTTATTTTTCTGTCTTTTAGTTGATGAGAAATAGCCTTAATTTGAAAGTAAGTTCCTTTACAAATTGTAACTAGCAATAATAAGAAAAAAATGGAACATTTTCAAAGACAAAGTGAAATGATAATTGTAGATTCCTCTATATCAACTTGTGGCTTAAGAAATAGATTTAAGTTCTCCCATTTCATATTTTACTATTGCCCAGGGCCATGAATCACCCTTCTCCTACATGTGCATGTGCACACACACACACACACACACACACACACATTATCTCTCTTTCTCTCTCTCTCTCTCACACACACACATAGAGACCAAAATAATCAGTGTCTCACTTCTGAAAGATTCCTCTATGACATATCTATATCCCTAGGTATTTTTTAAAATCAGTTCAAAAAATATCTGTACTGATTTGGTAATTTGTGATTAAAATAATTATAAAAATCCCAAGTAACTAGATTCTTAGCTGTTGATGGCAAAAATCATATCTCGCCTTAAGTATACCATCTAAGAAATGTGTGGTAGGCCTCGTTTTTCTTTCATTAGACACTAGCATTTAGGCTATTTGTTGTAAAGTGTCAAGACTTCCAAAAGATACGATCATTACATACTTGGTTATGGATCTAGAGTGCAGTATTGAGTGACAACCCAGTATGCTAGCACACTGTCACTTGGGCATCGTCCATTCCTTGGCTATGCTCTGAATAGATTAATATGTCCTTCTCTTTCTGAATGGTTTGAACCAGAGGCTAAATATCATCTTTCTAATCACTAAGTCAGTTGTCCTGAGCCCAATTCAGCACTCTGAGCTCATCCCACTGGAGTCAATTAACATAAAAAATTATTATCTATTAAACCCTGAGAGGCTAGCAAGAACTGGAAAAGATGCATATGAAATGAGTGTAGGTGGGACTCAGTCTGCTGTCTGTCTGCAGTTTGGAAATGGTTGGTTTTATTATTTTCTAAACTAATGTTTCCAGGTGGAAGTATGCACAAAGTATGCCTGTGTGAAAAGCAATGGAACCCAAATTACCACAGTGGAAGATACTCCAAGTGACATACCAGCACCCACAATCCATGACATCACTTCGAGGTACGACATATGACATATGACCTATCTATATTCCTAGGTATTTTTAAAGATCCTGAGAAAAGATAGTAAAAATTAGAGATATCTTCTTGGCAATGGCAATCTCATCTTGTAAGTTTCTATAAATACTTTTATAAGTCAAGTTTTCTATATTATTTCCTAGACGTTCATCTTCATTGAACACCTAGTTATATTAAATCTTTGGGGTCTCTAATTGCCCAGTCTTACTTTCCTTTTGTAATCTGTGAATGAACAAATACTTAAATACTCAAGTTTTCTTAATTAAATAGGCCCTTTAGTGAATCCTTTCATAAAACAAAATACAATTTTAATCAGAATAACAACTTTCTAACTTAATCTCTGAAAAAAATTTATTTACAAATATCATATTTCCCTCAAGATAGAAATATCTGTACAATAGGGACCAGCAGTTACCCTAATTGATCATATTCTTGATAGAAGCCCTTTATTTTTCTGTCTTTTAGTTGATGAGAAATAGCCTTAATTTGAAAGTAAGTTCCTTTACAAATTGTAACTAGCAATAATAAGAAAAAAATGGAACATTTTCAAAGACAAAGTGAAATGATAATTGTAGATTCCTCTATATCAACTTGTGGCTTAAGAAATAGATTTAAGTTCTCCCATTTCATATTTTACTATTGCCCAGGGCCATGAATCACCCTTCTCCTACATGTGCATGTGCACACACACACACACACATTATCTCTCTTTCTCTCTCTCTCTCTCACACACACACATAGAGACCAAAATAATCAGTGTCTCACTTCTGAAAGATTCCTCTATGACATATCTATATCCCTAGGTATTTTTTAAAATCAGTTCAAAAAATATCTGTACTGATTTGGTAATTTGTGATTAAAATAATTATAAAAATCCCAAGTAACTAGATTCTTAGCTGTTGATGGCAAAAATCATATCTCGCCTTAAGTATACCATCTAAGAAATGTGTGGTAGATACTGGTGTAATTTTTGATGTGCTAATTAGTTGATACTCAATAATCTCCTCAGCAGATTTTCCTTTCCTATCCATAGGATTGCCTATTATGCAGGGAGGAAATAGATTAAATGGGCACCAGAGACATTTATTTCATTTTTTTTTCAGCAAACACATGGAAGGCTACAGTAATATAGAAAGCAGAGGTGATACAAAAGAGTATAAGGCATGATTTAAATTTGCATAATTTAGGTCTACTGTGAAAGATAACCCCCTAAAAAAGTGTTTTTTGAAGAACAATGTGGAAAACACCACACTGGAGGTTTACAATGTTGAAGAAGAACATGGAGGGAGATATACCAACCCGACCCAAGATTATCCATCAAGGCACTGTGGTAATGTGACATTCAAGTTCAGAAAAATTCAAGGAAGAATTATAGTTAAGTGGGTAGATGTCACCAAGTCCTGTCAGTTGGTTGACAGAGGGGAATAATGACACAAAACAAGCTAATTTCCCTGCAGAGACCCTGAATAACTGAGCATCTAGAATTTTTAAGGATTGAGAAGAGTAAGAAGTTGGGGTAAGGTTCAAAGTTGAAATTGTGGGATTAACTGAAAGTCTGAAAAATAGCAATTGGAACTTACGGCCCCTTATGCCTACACTCTGTATCCAGATGTCTATTTTCTTTTTTTTTAAGAATTATTTTATTTAACTTTATGTATTTATTTATTTTAATCAACAATTCTCAGCTTGGCACCTTGATAGTACTAATTCCTTGTGACTATAAAGTTTTCATTTTACTTAGGTAAATATATAATATGGGTAAGTCATAAGAAACTGACATACTAATGTACAAAGTAGCTTTAACATCTTGCATATCTACTAGCATTGTACGAGAGTTCCTATGGCTCCACATTTTTGCTGGAACTTGATATTGTATAGGATCTTTTTTTTTTCTCTCTCTAAATAGCCAGTTGAATAGGTATTTAGGTTTAATTTGTGCTATTATAGATTTAATTTGTATGTCTCTGATGACTAATGATATTGGTTAATTCATATATTTATTTGGCATTTATTTATCTACTCTGGTGAAATACATCTTAAAATCCTTTGCAAATTTGTTAATTGGATTGAGTGTTTTCTTATTATTGCCTTCTGATAGTTTTAAAAATACATTTTATGCGTGATTTTTTATGTGATTTGCAAGCATTTTTCTTCAGTTTCTGACTTGTATTTTTTCAATTCTCTAAATCGTGTTCTTTGCAGACCAAATATTTTAAATTTTAATAATTTGATTTACTCTTTTATTTTATAGTTTGTACATTTGTTGTTTCTAAGAACTCCTTGCCTGCCTCAAAGTCAAAAGATTTTTTTTATCTTTTCTTCTAAAACTTTTATATGCTTACATTTTAAATTTATGCCTATGATTCACATTGAGTTAATTTTTGTATAAACTGACCATGAGTCAAATTTTATTTATTTTTGCACATGTGTGTCCAATTGTTCCAACAAAATTGTTGTAAAGAATAATCTTTATTTTTTTTTTGCTATTGAGTACATTTGGACCTTTGCCAAAAATCAATTTTTAACACATTATGTAGGTCATTTTTAGACTCTGTTTTCTGTGCAGCTGATCTATATATCCATTTACCAGTATCACACAATCTTGATTACTATAACTTTACAATAAGTTATGAAATTATGTAGTGTGAGTCCTACAATGTTGACCTTTATAAGGATCATTTGGAGACAATTTATTGATAACTACAAAACAAATTGTTCTGTGCTTTTTATTAATACTGCACTGAGTCTGTAGGTCAACTTGGAAAGAATTAATACCTTAACGATACCAAATGTTTCAGAGAAGCGTATTTGAGTCCTCTTTCATTCCTTTCATGAGTGTATGTATAGAATTCAGTATAAAGATACTGCACACATTTCAGTAGATTTATACCCAAATTTTTTGGAGGTAGGTCTATTATTAGTGTCTTTTAAGCAAATTCTTCTTATCATTTTTTCTAGTGTGTAGAAAGAATTGGTTTTAGTATACTGATTTTTGTATTCAAGAACTTTTCTAAACTCCTTGTTCATCTTGGGAACTTTTCTGTAAATTTTTTAGGTACACACAGATAAAATAAACTATCTGTTTACAATCTATATGCCTTTAATATATTTTTCCTGCCTTATTGCACAAGCTAGTTCTATATGGTGATAATAACACGTCCTTGACTTGTGCTCAGTCATTGAAAGGGAGATATGATTTTACCTATGAATTTTTTTTCAGAGATATCTTTTCTCAGATTAAAAAACTTACTTTTATTTCTAATTTGCTGTGAGTTTTTATTATAAATGGATATGGGGTTTTGTCAAATGCTTTTTCTACATTCTAAATTTGTGCTATGGTTAGTAATATTGATTAGTTTTCAAACAATTAACTAGCCTATAATCTCTGGACAAAGTCCACCTGATGGTGACATATCTTCTTT